ATAGTCCAGGCTGATGCTCCAAGGAGGATGTTGGGGTGTTTGTGCTGCATTGTTTGTTGCTCCTTCAGATGAAACGTTAGACCAAGGCCCCATCTGTTCATTCAGAACTCTGCCGCTCGCATACTGAGTCAGACCAAACTCCGTACCTACATCTCACCAGTTCTGGCCCAAGTTCCACTGGCTCCCCATCTCCGAACCAATCGATTTTACGATCCTCACTCCTGTGTTCAAATCCCTTCACTCCCTGGCACCTCCCTACCTCTCCGACCTCCTCACTCCCTAATCCACCGCCCGGCGCCTCTGCTCGACTGGCACCGGCCTCCTGCGCTTCCCCCGTGCCCTCCGCCCCACCATCGCTTTCAGCCACTACGCCCCGAAACTCTGGAACACTCTCCATCAATCCCTCCGCCTTGCCCCCTCTCTTCCCCCCTTTTTCATGTCCCATCTGAAAACCTTCCTCTTCGACCGTGCTTATGGCCACCTCCATGTGGAATTCAAATGGAGAGACAGGAACAGGTTCGTCTGAGAAGCAGAGACTCCTAGCTAAAAAGGGCACTGTCGCTTTGTGGGGTGAGAGGCAAAGTCTCCTCCATTGCGCGGCATGAAAAGTCATTCTGAGTGCAGGTTGTGCAATGAAGAGCCAAGTCTCACCGACACAGCTGTTTGAGCAGATGTGTTTTAACGTTCTGGGGTTGGAAGCAAAGTCCTCAAGAGCTCAATAGACCTGCTTCTTGTGTAGGACATGAACCCATCCTAGATGCTCAGCACAAAGCTGGGAGGCTTGCGTCCAGGATGGGTTATTGGTGGTGAATAAAAATAATAATAATCTAATAATCTTTGCATTTGATGCACAGCCGGGTTCCACAAACAGTCGTGGATTGAGCGACCAAATTTATTTTGAAGGAATTATTATCCCCGTAAAAGCGATCCACCAATTGACTAACAACCGGATTCTTACTTACTGCTTGCGAGGCGAATGCGTGTATGCTTGACTTCATGCCAAAAACTCCGTACAAGCCATGACAGGCATGTGATTGCATGTTAAAGGTGGCTCTAATTACCGTGAATTTGAATATATTTTGATGGCGATAAGCTAAACAGGAACAGTTAGATAAAGCAAAGATGTATCTGCAAAGGCAGTCTCCCGTTTAAGAGTTGCTTAATATATAAGTGTTTTTTGCCCATATATACTGTAAATTCACTTTACAATATATTCTGTGAAGCGCTTTGAGACGTGAAAAGCACTATATCAAATGCAAGGATTATTATTAGTCATTTTTGTGCCTAAAAAACAAACTTTCTTTCTGTGCTGCTGTTTATACAACCTTCACAGAACAACAATTCCTTTCACAAGATATTCTCTAGCAACGCTTAACCACAGACATCAATAACCAGCAGTTAACCATAGACACTAGAATTTACGTACAAGATTAGATCTCTACCTGTGCTGACTTGGCTGATCCCAGTCAGTTTCGCCTCTGAGCCAGAGGGTTGTCAGATCAAGCTCAAGTCAGGACTTTGAACTTTCGCTCACAAAATATACGGTCAATTCACTTTGCATTATATTCTGTGAAGGGCTTGAGACGTCTCGAAGACGTGATAAACTGCTTTGTGAAATGCAAGGATTATCATTATTGAACCTATGCAGTCTGGGCTAATGCTCCAAATCAGTGCTGCATTGTTCGAGTTGTCATTCTTCAGATGAGACGTTAAAACAAGGTGTTGTCAGGTGGACGTTGAATGTCCAAATTGGCTGCTATGTTTGCCTTCGCACAGTCACTACGTTTTGCAGTATATCTTTTCAAGAGCATTGAGATAGTTCGACGATGTGACTTAGAAGCCGTATCAAATGCAAGAAATATTCTTGTGTCAGACAGAGAGAAGGTGGTGCATCTCAACTTGGCTCACTCTGGCCTCTAAGGTGGAAGGTTGTGGGATTGAATCCCAATCCCAGGACTTGAACTCACATAACCTGAGCTAACATTCCTTCGCAGTGCTGGGGGCGTGTTTCATTGTCGGAGGTGCTGTCCCTTTGAATGAGAAGGTCCTGTCTGATTGTTCAGATGGACGGTAAAGATCCCATGGCGCTATTTCAAAAGAGAAAGGAGTTTCTCTCTCTCTCTCTCTCTCTCGCGGTGTCCTGGCCAACAATCCCCCAAATAAAATTGGTCACTCGCTCCATTGGCTGTTTGTGGGTCATTGCTGTGCATAAGTTGTGGCTCTGAGTTAGAGAGGGAAGACATCAGCTAGTGTTTTGCTATCTATCGAGGCTATGGCTATCCAGTGACCCCTGTAGGGTGGGCATCAGATGAGGACAGAACGGGTCTTGGCTGTGATTTCTTTACCCCTCACCCCCACTCCCCACCCACCACCACCATCCCACACCAAAGCCCCACCCACAGAGGTATTCACCGTCTCGACTCTACACGCGAGGAAATGGGTGAGTTACAAACGGAGAACGGGCGGGAGAGAATTTGGCAAAAACAAAAGAATTCACAAAAAAATTGCCACTTCTCTTCAGTTCACGTCTCATTGAGGCCAGACAAGAACCCGTGTTCCAAGTCAAAACGGTGCCAACAATAAATGGCAACCGAGTTGCACGAAACTGTGTTTTTAATCCAAATTAAAGGTTTTTTTTTCTGTGTGTGTGTGTGTGTGTGTGTGTAACAAAGGGCTCCTGTTCTCAAAAAGGCAAGAGCTTCTGATTTCACACCATTAGCAATATTTTCACAATATTTCATATCTAATTGCAAGTCAATCACTTACTTAAAGGTGTCATTGTTGCCTTAAGCCCCAAGTGGAGTGCTGTAGCACAGTGGTTAGAGAACTCGCTTTGCAAGCGAGAGGACCTGGGTTCGATTCCCGGAAGGGCGAAACCTTGGGCAAGTTTCCTTACTCTTGATGATAAACCCTCAAGAAAATAAAACAATGATAAATTGGTCACTTCAACCCACGACTGTTTGTAGGACACTGCTGTGCGCAATTGGCCGCCGCAGTTCGCCCACAAATATACAGTCAATTCACTTTACAGTCTATTCTGTGAAGCGCTTTGAGGCGTCTGGAAGACGTGAAAAGCGCTATGTCAAATGCAAGGATTATTATTATTAAGTCGGGACTTTGAATATAGTCTAGATTGATGCTCCAAAACATTACCGGGGGAGCGGTAGATTGTCAGAGGTATCGTCCTTTGGTGAGACATTAAACCAAGGTCCCGCCTGTGTCGGTTTGGTTGATCCTATGGTGCTATTCAAAAAGACAGGGGAGTTTCTCTCTCCAGGTGTCCTGGCCGTTAATCCCCCGGTGATTCGCTTGTTGGCTGTTTGCAGGACATTTGCTGTGCGCAAATTGCCTGCCACGTTCGCCTAGAAAATACTCTGTCACTCCACTTTACAGCATGAAGCCATTTGAGATATACCTCCCAGCATGAAAATGCAAGGGTTAGAGGATAGTTATTGAGAAAAAAAGACACAAGGGAGATTCTCTGTTTAACACAGTACAGATGAGTGTTTGTGGAGAAGGAAACTGGTCGCTTCCATCAGCTCCCATTAGCAGAGGGGGCCTGAGTGTGTGTCTCTCTTATCTGTACGGCTGAGATGCAGCTCTAAGTGACTCCGCTACCTGTTGCTTTGAAATTCCTCTGTCAGATTGATTAATGAGGTGTTTGGGTGAATTAGTTCGGTTGAACTTCGCAGAAGCTGATCACATTCCCATCGGCTCTGTAATACAGGGAGACTTAACTTAACATGTGGAGCTGAGATTTAACAATTGCTGTAATGTTAGGGTACAAGACCTGACTGTAAAATGTCTGGATCTATCAGTCATTTGGACTCGGGTTCGACTCCCTCGCAGAGCGAAACCTTAGGCAAATTTCCTTACTCCACACGCCACTGTTTACCTAGCAGTTGGTTGTTAGTCAATTGAAGGATCGCTTTCCGGGGGTAATAATCCCTTCAAAAAAAATGTGGTCACTCAATCCACGGCTGTTTGTGGGACACTGCTGCGCGCAATTGGCTGCTGCGTTTCGCCCACAAAATTTCCGGTTAATTCACTTTGGCAGTATGTTCCGCGTAACACTTTGAGAGGTCTCAATGACGTGTTAAAGCGCTATAACGAATGCAAGTATTATTATTTCCCTTGCCTCTCTTTATCCTCCTCTCCTCTCTCTATCTCTTCCCCACTCCTCCCTTTATCTCGCTCTATCTTTGATGATTTCTCCCGGTGTCCTGGCCAACGGTAACCAGTGTCTCGCATACCTTTCAGCGGAGTATTTTAACAAGCGGAAATTCCCGCCAACCCACAGAAACTTTGCCCCGCGAGTGTTTTTTTCAGAGCAGTGTGACGGTGAGGTTTGATATAGTGCATTTCACACCGCGAGGATGTAACATGTAGTGACTGCGCATACGTAAGAAAATATGACAGCCAATTTGCACACAGCAACACCCGACAAACAGCTGTGCAGTGATATTTTTATGTGAGAGTATTGTTGGGCAGGACACCAGGAGAGAAAAACTCCCTTCTCTTTACAAGTAGCCTGCTGGATAATAATAATCCTCGCATTTGATATCGCGCCTTATCACGTCTTCGAGACGTCTCAAAGCCCTTCACAGAACGCACAGTAAAGTGAATTGACTGCGTATTTTGCGGACGAAACGCGGCAGCCAATTGCGCACGGCAGCGTTTCCCCCCCCCCAAACAGCCGTGGGTTGAGTGACCGATTTATGTATTGATTAATATTTGGAGAGGATTACTACCCTGGTTCCGCCAATCGACTAACGACCGGATTCCTCTTCAACGCTAGGTGCGTGCGGAGTAAGGACACACGCGCCTGAGGTTTCGAACTCAGGTCTTCTCGCTTGCGAGGCGAGCGCTCTTAACAAATAATACTCTTACAGGGCTCCGCAGCAGTGAGCCAGGCTGAGGCACAAACTGTCTAAAACGTTAGCGAAATAATAAGAAAGACTCGAAAGCGTGCATTTATTGTGTTGTTTGTGTTTCCTCAGGCCTCCTGCCTTGACAGCCAGCCCTATCTTCTCTGACCTCTCCCTCATCAGGCTCTCTCCTCACCGGAACCCGACGGCCGCAGGGGAACCCGCCTTCAGCCTCCCCCATCCCTATGTCAATCCCCACGTGGAGCATTACCTCAGATCCATCCACGGGAGTCCCACGCTTTCCATGATCTCAGCGGCGAGAGAGTTGAGCCCAGCTGACGGTAAGCCTTGCTAGTTTCTCCTCACCTCCCACCCCTCACCCCCCCCACACACACCCCCCCCCGCCACTCCTCGCACGCCAACAGCCCACTCCTCAAGGCTTAACCCTTTCCTCCACTTCTCCGAATAAGTGCAACGCGTCACGTTAGAACGCGGCAGTTTGGGTGGGGAGTGTCCATAGATGTCAGATGCGTGTTTCTCCCTCCCCCCCACCACCCTGTTACGATAGAGGGATAACCTGCGAACACCCCCTTATGTCAGCCGAGGAGAGCAGCCACGTTTGTCGGCTGTCTGATCCACGAGGGGGTTAAAAGTTATGTCAGGGCATCAGGTGAAACGGTATCAGTGACGGAAGACGCCGGAACTCCTGCCGTCGCTGGGTCTGTCGAAGGCATCGGAATCCTGTTGTGTCTCGTCAACAGACAAGAAAGCTCCTTCAGAACCCCGAAGGGGTTAATTTAACTTTAATGACTTGACTTTTTTGTGCGTTTAAACGAGGGCGGGCAGCCGGCCAACAGAGGTACTGCACAAACCAGTGAGCCAACACACACAAAATTAAACGCTTTATGCATCTTATTCTTAATGGGTATCATTAAATTAGACGTGCGTGTGCACGTCTGCGTGTGTGTGTGTGTGTGTGTGTGTGTGAGTGAATTCGGGAATATTTGCCTGATTCTGTTCAAAATTTATAACTGTCAAGTGTGTGGTTCATTGTGTGTGTGTGTGCGTTTGCGTGTGATAGCGATTTCTACGTCCGCGTGTTTTTTTCACGCAAAATTTGTAACTATTAAGTGTGCGGTTCAATGCGTGTGCGCGAGACAGTGATTTCTGAGCTTGCGCGGGATTCTGTGCCAAATTACAAAGCGTGTGATTTTGTGTGTATGTGTGTGTTTTTTTTGTGTGTGTGTGTGTGTGTGTGTGTGTACAAGTAATTTCCGTATGTTTCTGTGCAAACTATTAAGTGTGCGGTTCAATGTATGTGTGTACGAGAGTGATTTCTGAGTTCCGTGCAAAATTTGCAACTATTAAATGTGTGCGCGGTTCATTGTGTGTGTGTGTGTGTGTGTGTGATTTCTCCATGTGTTTTTTTCTCGGCAGCATTTGTAACTGGAGGGTGCGTTTCAGTATACATGTGTGTGTGTGTGTTCGCGCGGGTGCGTGCGTGTGCGCGTCTGAGAGTGACTTCTGAGCTTGCGTGCGATTCTGTGCAAAATTTCTCACGACTAAGTGCGCGGGTGGCGGTGGCGTGTGTGTAAGAAGAGTGCAAATTCAGCACTCGTGCACAAAACGTGCCACGAAACGTGCAGCCGTGGGCGCGCAGACGCTTTCGAACGCTTGTATGGTTCCATCTATTGTGTCTGCAGTTTTCTTTTGGGGGGCGGGTGGGTTGGGGGGGTGGGGGGGTGGGGTGGGGGGGGGGGGTAGGTGGAAGGAAAAAAAAACAGACTTCTGCAACACTAGATGTGTGTGGGGTTGACATCATTGCAAGTTTCCATGCTGTGAATAATTCTCTCTCTCCCTCTCTGCGCGTGTGTGTGTGTGTGCGCGCGCGTGTGTGTCTTTTTCTTGGTTGAGCCCTGGGAGTGAGTGTGTGTGTGTGAGTGTGTGAGTGTGTGAGCGAGCGAGAGAGAGAGAGAAAGAGGAGGGGGTGGCGGGGGGGGGGGGGTGGGGGTTGTTTATGGGTTTGAGGAAACACAGGAATGTAGAGAGGCCCCAGCTCCAACTCTTTTCTCTCTAACACAAACACGCCCAGGCTGGCTACCGTCACTGAGAGAACTTCCATCTGGCTTTGCAGAGTTACCTCTGACGCCAGTGCAAGCGAAATCACAGAGGGCTTTGTATTTTAAGGCACGCACGCACAATAAGAACCCTTCTCCTTTAAGGAACTTTGTGTGTCTTGTTCTCTGACCATCCCAATACCCCCCCCACCCCAACACCCCCAACCACCCACCCACCCCCCACCCAACAAACACAGTTCCCCATGAGCACCTGAAGGACAGAGGTCTATTTGGCCTGCCTCAACACCCGGTCGGAGTTAATTCAGCCGAATACTATCACCAGATGACCCTAATGGCCAGTCACCGAAGTCCATATAGCGATATCCTCATGCAGACCGGAGCCACCAGCACCGCTCACATCACCGATTACATCAACCCCGTGGACTGTGAGTACAGAATATTACTGGAGACTTTTTTTTCTCTCTGGGGCTCCTTTTATCTTTCTGTTTTTTTTTCTCTCTCTCTCTCTGGGTGTGCGCGTGGGGGGTGGTGGAAAGGGGGGGGAGTGAGGGTGGGCGGGAGGGGTGTGGTGGAGGGCGGGGGTGGTGGGGGGGGGGGGGGGGGGAGTCGGGAGGGGGAATCAGAGGCTTTTTTTTCTCTCGCTCTCTCTCTCTCCCTTGCTCTCTCTCTCACGCTTTCTCGCTCGCTCTTGCTCTCTCAGCATTGCACCTCCTGCAGTCAGAAAGTTTTTTTTCAAGTCAAAAGTGTTTTTTTTTGCTCTTTCTTTCTCTCGCTCTCTCTCTCTCTCTCTCTCTCTCTTTCTCTGAGTGAAAGAGGCTAAGCCAGTTCTGAGCAGAGAGTAAATTGTGAGGACCCGGATTAATTAACCCGTCAAGGTCTACAGTCAATGCGTTAGAATAAACCAAACTGCAGCATTCCTTTGACTTAGTACCTTATAATAATAATAATAATAATAATAATAATCCTTGCATTTGATCTAGAGTCTTAACACGTCGTTGAGACATCTCAAAGCTCTTCACAGAATATACTTTAAGTGGAGTGACTATATTTTGTGGGTCTAAACTTCGTGCTTCTTCACGGAACATTTATATGGGTTGTATTTCTTTTAATTAAATGACACATCTGAAAAGTTTAGCCTCAAAAAGTGGAGGAAGCTACTTTTTTTTATGTAGCGCATCAACTCTTCCAAAATCCTTTACTTTAATTTATTTTTTTTTGAAAAAAATCAAGAATTGAAAGTCATCTTTTTTTTCTAAAAAAAAAGTTTTAAACTTTTTTTTTGAAGACGAAACGGATTTGGGGATTTTTTTTAAAAAAAATCTTTCGACAGAAAGGCGTTTGAATTTTTGGATTGTTTGCTTGAGCTCCGAGACTGTACCCCACATGAAGGGCTCTATATAAATGCAAGTTGTTGTAGTTATTGTTGACATTGCGTTGTTTCCATCCGAAGCTGTAATTTATAATTAATTCCAGGTTAACGCAGTGTTTTGCTTAAGGAGAAGCAGTCACTGAGGATAGGACTGACGGGATTTTTTCTTGATAGCTTATTTACAAGTTGTGGCTTCGACCTGAGCGTCTGATTCTTAAACGTTGTCATTTTGTGAGTAATATTTCAGGATCCGTCACGAGGTCCGAATAATAGACAAACCTATGCCTATAAAGATAGCTCCATCCGGTTGGCCAGTCAGCCCTCATCTCCCACTGGCTGTGGAGTTTGCCTGTTCAGCAAATCACCCTAATAATAATAATAATAATATTTATTAATAATAATCCTTGCATTTGATCTGTGGAGTTCTGTGGCGTATTGGTTAGAGCGCTCGCCTCGCCAGTGAGGGGACCTGGGTTCGATTCCCGGCAGGGCAAAACGTTAGGCAAGTTCCCTTACTCCGCACGCTCTATTTGTAAGTAGGAACACGGTTATTATTCGATTGATGGGTCGCTGTGCGGCAGTAATAATCCCTTCAACATAATAATAATAATTTGGTCACTCAATCCACGACTGTTTGTGGGACGCTGCTGTGCGCGATTGGCTATCAATTCACTTTACGGTATATCCTGTGAAGCTGTATAAAATGTAATAATATTTATTAATAATATTTAATGTAGTATGAAAGGTGATAAGGGGCTGTATAAAATTTAAGGATTATTATTATTATTGATACTGCACCTTTCGCTGTCTCGAAGCCCTTCACACAATTTTACTGTAAAGCGTAGCGACTGTGCAGTTGTAGGCAAATGTCGCAGACAATCTGCACGCGGCAGTGCCCCACAAACAGCCAAGTAGCGAACGACCAATTTTATCTGTGGGGGGGGGGGGTGTTGGGTGGCCAGAACATTGGAATGAATGCCCTTCCACAGTGTAGCACTACCCCCAGCACTGCACAGACAACGTCAGCCGAGACCGTGTGAGCTCAAGGTCTTGCAACTTGAAGTCACAACCTTCTGACTTAAGAGGCGAGAGCGCTATCAACTGAGCCAGGCTAGCACTTGGCTGTCTGTCTTTGGCATTTTTTCCATCTGCGAGCACTGGCACGTGTGCGCGCGTGTCAGCGCGTGCGTGCGAGACCCCTAGGAAACCCAGACACCCCGGGAATTGTGGCTTGGATCCGGAGCCAACACAACGGCACCACACCCAGAAAATACACAGTCTATTCACTTCACGGTGTATCCCGTCAAGCGTTTTGAGACGTCTCGAAGACGTGATAAGGCGCTGTATCAAATGCAAGGATTATTATTATTATTATTATTATTATTATTATTATTAGCCTGAGCTCCAATGAGCTGTGCAATGCCTCTCAGGAAGCTTATCCAGTTGTCCTGACTGCAGCAGCTGGCTTGAGGACTTAGCGTTGTCGCCACCGGAAGGGCGACTGTGCTACCGTTTGCCGCTTGCAGAGCCGTTCAGATTAACAGCTCCAGAACCCTGCAGGACATCACTCCGCACAGCTGCTAACTACCCAGCTCGCAAGCTCTCTCTGCCCTTCTCCTCGGAGCTTGGAGCTGAACAGACTGTGCCAGCCATTTTCTATCGACTTGCCCAGTCGTTGCAACAGACAAAGATAAAGAACTCTTATTGGGTTTTCTTCTTTCCTTCCGGAGCCCCTATTCATTCTTCTGCGGACCTCTGTATTTTTCCACAGTCGATAGGAGAGCAATAAAATGGCACATACGTTGAATTGTAGGAAATTGTCAGCCTGGCTCAGTTGATAGCCCTCTCGCCTCCAAGCCAGAGACTTGAACTCGTATAGTCCTAAACTGATGCTCCAATGCAGCGCTGGGGGGAGGGGGGGCGCGGGGGAGGTCTGTGTCGCATTGTCAGAGGTGCCGTCCTTCGGATGAGACTATAAACCGAGGTCCCATCTGCGGTTGTCCAGGTGGACGTTAAAGATCCCGCGGGGCTATTCGACAAAGTGGATTGACCGGCCGTTTGCGGGCGAAATAACACGGCAGCCACATGCGCACAGCAGCGTTCTCTAAGGTCTCGTCCCGCTGGGGAATCGAACCCGGGTCCTCTCGCTTGCGAGGCGAGCGAGCTGATGGTCATTATTGTTATAATTGTGACAGCAAAAGCAGCTGTGTATGTGCAAGCCCTGTGACACAACACACTGCTTCTCCCCCACCCCCTCCCCCATTGCATTGGATTGCATACCAGGATCCATTCTCCTCTCCGACACACTGGTTTATGGTGCCTCACTTTAAGCTTTGAAGATGGCCAGGATGTATTGTGTTGAGTAACTTTATTGTCAAGCCCCAGATTTCACTGATTGTATCCCCCGCGGAGCGTTCCCGCAGTAACCACATCCCTTCACTCCCCCCCCGTTGTGCCGTTCTTCAATAGAAATGTGAAGGAAGCAGTAAAACCAATTCTATCTGGAGGATTGTTGGCCGGGACACCCGAAAAAAAACTTTCCCTCTTCGTTTGAATAATGCCGTGGGATCTTTGAACAGCCACCTGAACAGTCAGATGAGACCTTGGCTTAACCTCTCATCAGAAAAACAGCAGCGCTGACAATGCCCCCGACACCGCGGTCAGTTTGGACTGTGAGCTCTGATGGGGGGCTTGAACCCAACAACCTTCTGACCCCACCCACCCCCCTCCAGATCAACAGCGTCACCAACTGTTGAGCCAACGATCACATCTAGTCACGGAAGAAGTAGTAATAATGGAATCCTGTAGCGTGTTGGTTAGAGCACTCGCCTCACAAGCGGGAGGACCTGGGTTTGATTCTCGGGCAGGGCAAAACCTTAGGCATGTTTCCTTACTCCACGCGCCTCTGTTTACCCAGCACTAAGTAAGTAGGAACTCCCATTGTTAGTCGATTGGTGGGTCACTTTCTGGGGGTAATAATCCCTCAAAAAAAATCACTCAATCCACGACTGTTTGCGGGGACGCTGCTGTGCGCAATCGGCTGCCGCGTTTCGCCCACAAAATACACAGCCAATTCACTTTACAGTATATTGTGTGAAGCGCTTTGAAAGACGTGATAAGGCGCTGTGCCATATGCAAGGATTATTATTAGGCTTATTTTAACGGGTTGAGAGAATCTTCATTTCTAAGTTGTTTGGGTCGGGTTTCTTTATCCCCCCTTCATCCCCTCCCCTCACCTCGCCCCTCCCTTCCTCACCACCCAGCAGAGTTGATGTAGGTAATGAGCGCTGTGGTCTTGTCACATGCTGTTAGTTAGGGAAACAGCTGGTTTGGATTTTCAACGTCTGAACCACGCTGTAATGCAATCCACTGGTCAAGTTAGATTAGATGTATGTGTTTCTCCCCTGAGATCGCCCCATCCCCAAATTTGAACAGTCGTACACATGCTTTTTCAACTCTCTTGTCAAACCAATTTGGGCCCATCAAGCCTTGACTTCCCCTCTGGTCAAGTCGTTATTCTTGGCAATGTTTGTGCCTCTACCTCCTCTGTCGAATGAATGCCCCATCCTTCAGTGGTCCTCAACGGCTCAGCGTCCAGCCTGCCCACATCCCTGAGTAGCCTGGAAATCCACTGACTCTCCTCTCGGGGTCAACCTGGCTCCCGTCCGCTTGTTTGGGCAGACCGCAAAGATCTTGATGCACTATTCAAACAGAGAAGGGAGTTTCTTTTTACCCAGTGTCCTGGCCAACGATCCCCCACATAGAATTGGTCGATCAATTCATGGCTGTTTGTGGGATATTGCTATGTACAGAATCGGCTGCTGGGTTTGCCTACAAATGCACAGTAACTACACGGCACCTCAGCCTCATTCTCTCCTCTCATTGTCAGGTGGAGCTTCTACATCTCTAGCGCTCAAGCGAACTTAGTTTCCTTTTCGTGCTAAAAGTTTCTTTTGCTCTCGACGAGTCTGTACTCCCCGCATCACCCAACTTCATCCGAGACTTGGACATCGCTCTGGGTCCTTCTAGACCTCCCGCACGCTCCTAGGCAGGACGTGAGAAAAGGCTTCCATTACTCCCGTCTCCTCGCGTGCCTCCCTCCGTTGCATCGATACCCCTTGCGGTTCACTGTTCCTTCAAGTTGTTAGTAAAAAATCATGAAACACACACACACACACACACACACTCGGGTTGGAGGGTGGGAAGAAGGAGCCTTTCTCAGATGCTGTGTGGAATTTTGCTATAAAACCAGCTCGCTCTTAAGGCGTTGCTGAAGTAATGACGGATCAAAAGGGCACTCCGAAAAAAAAAAAAGCTTGTGCTCTTTGAAACAATGTGCGCTCTCTCTTTTTTTTTTGTCTCGAGACATCTGGGATTCATCAAGCTTTTCGGCGGGTGACTTTCTCGCTAGCATTAGTCTGATCAGAAGTAATTTCATCTCTCGCCGAATTCTCGGTCTGGTAAATAAGCAGCTTTTTGGCCTTTCAGTGGATTCGAGCAAAGGTTTGATTATTGTGGGAAAAAAACACAGCAATTGGCTCTGTCGGGTGCTCATCAGACTCGCTCGTTCACCTGCTGCTGAAATATTTGGTGCTTTTATTGGAGAGTAGCTTCTGTTTAAGTTGCAGTAAATAGGAACCCGGTTGTTAGTCGATTGGCAGGAGTAATAATCCCTTCAATTATAATTTTCTCACTCAATCCACGACTGTCTGTGGGGACGCTGCCGTGCGCAATCGGTTGCCGCGCTTCGCCCACAAAACACACAGTCAATTCACTTTTCAGTATATTCTGCGAAGCGCTTTGAGACGTCTCGAAGATGTGATAAGGTGCTGTATCAAATGCCAGGAATATTATTATTATTATTATTATTTGGTGCTTTTACCTCGGCCCTTGGAGTAGAAAGCTCGCACGTTGACGTGTGGGGCAGATGTGAGCTTTGTGGTAAAATAAAGGAGCGGGGAAGTAACTGACATTGCTATAAATTGGTAGGACTGGAGTGAGCAAGGTCGGGATGTACAGCAAGTCGGCCAAGCTACAACAACAACTTGCATTTATCTAGTGCCCTTCATGCCGGGTGGAGTCTCGGAGTGCTTGATTCTAAACCCCTAGCCTCTGGAACTCCTTTCCAACCTCCAACCCTGCCTCTCCCCTGCTCGGATTCTGGTCCCGACTTTGTAAAGCACTCCCGAGTTGTTAAACTACGTGAAGGGGGCTGTGTAAATGCAAGTTGTTGTCGACTGTGTTGTTGGCTCTGCTGCTCTGTGGCAAGTGTGGGTCTCTGTGTGGCAATCGCTGCCTCAGCACCTTGGGAAGTCCTCCAGATGTGAAAGGCGCTACACACAAATGTAATTTGTTGTTGTTGTCCCCTCGTCCATTCCCGCCCCCTCCCCCCCCCGCCGCCTCCCCCGGTTCAGTCTCCCCATCACTATCGTGCCTTCGAGACATCCTCCCCACGTGAAAGGTCGCTATGGAAAAAAAAACATGGAACAACAACAACAACAACAACAAGATTCCATTTATAAAGCGCCTTTCACGTCAGGAGGACGTCCCAACAGTTTTGTGTTCCCTTCCTCTCACTTCCCCCCTTTCTAATCACCACCCCCCCCCTCCTCAAAACAGGTGTCTGACACATTCAGAAACACATCACCATTATTAAGAGTTTCCAAGTCAGACAGAGTTCCATTTATAACACCTATACATGGAAATTTCTCTGTGTTCGGAATGGAATGTGTGCTTTCTCGCTGAAAGGGATGCACTCTTTCTCTCTCTCTCTCTCTCTTTCGCTCTCTCTCTCCCTGGAAGGACGCATCCCGCTTAACTAATTCCGGATAGTATTAGGCGAAGGTTGGCAAGAGCCAAAGCTTGGGAGGGGGTGGGGGGGGTGCAGAGTGGTGCGTTGGGGGTCACTGCTTGAGTCCAACCAGCTAAAACCACATGGTTTGCCATTGATATCTCTATCTGCCAAGCTTTCCTGCTGCTTGTCCAGCCAGGACCAACAAACCCGTTGGGGCTTTGACTTGCAGGGTTAACAGGAGCCAAGTAGGAGAATCCCAGCGAGCACTAGGCGCAGGTTAGCAAAAGCCAAAGCTTGGGGGGAAACGGACCATAGAGTGTACGTCGGGTTACCTGCTGGAGCTTAACCAGTTAATACCACGTAGCTTGCCATTGAAAACACGGTCCAGCGAGCTTTCTGCTGCTTGTCCAGCTGGGATCAGCCTAGTGGTTCGGGCTTTGGCTTGCAGGGTTAACAGGATCCGAGGAGGGTGAATGATAGAATGATATAGCGCAGAAGAAGACCATTCGGCCCATTGTGCCCGTGCCTTGGAGTATCTGCTTGAAAGTTTACGTTGTTTTTCGGTGCTGAGTATACACTTTTAAAGAGTGAATCACTTCTTGTTGACAGCTCGGGGGGTTAACCCAGTCAGTAGCTGAGGCCACAAGAGAGGGATGGTCCCACGTTGATCTCCGGTCTGTGCTGAGTTAGAGCTTGTCTCAATCGCAATGCACCAAATTGCAGCAAGTGGAATCCTGTAGCTCAGTGCTCAGAGCTCTCGCCCCACAAGTGAGAGGGCACGGGTTCGATTCCCGGGCAGGACAAAACCTTAGGCAAGTTTCCTTACTCCACACGCCTCTGTTTGGGACATCCTCCCGACGTGAAAAGCGCTATACAAATGTAATTTTGTTGTTGCGTTGTTTACCAAGCAGAAGTAGGAACCCGGTTGTTAGTTGATTGGCGGATCGCTTTCTGGGGATAATAATCCCTTCAAAAAAAATACTAATAATTTGGTCTCTCAAACCACAACTGTTTGTGGGACACTGCTGTGCGCAAATGGCTGCCGCGTTTCGCCCACAGTATATTCTGTGAAGCGCTTTGAGCCGTCTCAAACACGCGATAAGGCGCTATATCAAATGTAAGGATTATTATTATTATTTTTATCGTCCTACTTTGCAAACAGACCTAGTATTTAAGCTGGAGAGTGGGAATTGCACGGATAAATGTTTCTCTACATCTGTAAGGACACTAAGTAGACACCTGTTGTGTCGTTTGCATCACAAAAAATCAGCTTCAGACCAGTCTAGCTGAGCGCAGCCTCCTTCCTCTACGGAGCCGTGTACATGAATTAGGTTCACGTTCGTTCAGACGAACAGCAGAGACCGAAGGCAGTTGTGGAGACGTCACAACGATTTCTGCAAATTAATAGGGGCCAATGCCTGGGCAGTCATCAAAGACATAAATCACAGAAAATGGTGGGGGGAGGGTTGGGGTGGGGGGGGGGGGGGGGGAGGTGCGGGAACGCATACAAGGCTTTTCTTTCTATTTAGTAATTTATCATGGGAAGTGGCACATTAATAAACACGGGTCCCCTGAGGTGAGGGGATAACAGAGATAAATACGACTGCCAAATTCAACTTGCGTCTCGGAGCCAGAGAAGGCGGGCGGCGCTGGGAATGCAGAGCTGGGAAAATCTCGCAATTCTTTATGTTATACTTAAAAGAAAAAAGCCAAAAAGTTTCTGTCAGCTTTTTTTTCCGAACTGATTTCATTCCGTCGCCCGTCGCAAATTACTGGCATTAAAACGGCTCTTTTTTTTTTTGTAAACCCGCACCTCAGCCCCAGGCTGCATTTGGGCAATTTATTATCCATTAAATAGGCAGTTTTCAAACCGTTTTGGTGACGCTCATTCTCCACCCCCGCCCCCCCCCCCCACACCCCCATCCCTCCCTCCCTCCCTCTCCCCACAATTGCCCTCCAGCCAAAATAACAGTCACTACATTTAAGAGTAATTACTGTAATGGCTCTAATTACCACTTGTGTCAGCCTGGATCACTTGGTAGCGCTCTTGTCTCTAGAGTCAGGCCGTTCACCTCACTAAGTCTTTTAAGTCTAAGCTCCGTTGCAGAGTTGGGGGGTGGGGGAGTGGGGGTGGGGGGGGTGGCGTGTGTGTGTTTCATTGTCGGAGGTGCCGTCCTTCAGTTGAGAAATTAAACCGAGGTCCCGTCTGCGCCTGTCCGGGTGGACTTAAAGATTCCGCGGCGCTATTCAACAAGAGAAAGGAGTTTCTCTCTCCCTGTGTCCTGTCCTGACCAGCAACTCCCCCCCCCCCCCCCAACCCCACCACAACTAAAAATCAGTTCATTCACTTCACGGCTGTTTTGTGGGACGTTATCGCGTGAAAATGGCCAGCGAAATTCGCAGTCACTACCCTTTGAAATCCCGTGAAGCGCTCTGAGACATCCTCCCGACGAGGTGTCGAGGTGCTTTACCGAATGCGAAGATTGTTGTTGTGTTTTCAACGTAATTCGGATGCTTTAAAAACGCGAGTTCTTTCCTGTTTAAAACCAACACCAACTTTTTTATATCTTGCATGTGGTGGAACTGATTCATCATTGGAGCCCGCAGGGGTGGGGGTGTGGTGGGGGGGGGAGGGGGTTGGTGGGAGACAGGGAGAGGAAAGGATGGAGGGGAAGGAAATACGTTTTGAGTTTCTTCGCTCACTCTTCGCTGCTCCCATCCCTCAGTCTCGAGGTTCTCCAGTCCCAGGCCCGCGGCCAGGATGAGCCGGAAGAGGGCCCTGTCTATCTCCCCCCTCTCGGACGCCAGCATTGACCTCCAGACCATGATTCGCACGTCCCCCAACTCGCTGGTGGCTTACATCAACAACTCGCGGAGCAGCTCGGCAGCCAGCGGCTCCTACGGGCACCTGTCGGCAGGTGCCATCAGGTAAAAAGACTTTGCGATTTGACCCATGTTAGACCAGGTCTCACGTGATGGTTTCTCCCTCATTCAACAACAACAAATAACAACTCGCATTTATATAGCGCCCGTCACTCAGGCTGCTGGGTTTCGCCCACAAAAAATACAGTCAACTCACTTTACAGTATGTCCTGTGAAGCGCTTTGAGACGTCTCGAAGTCGTGATAAGTCGCTGTATCAAATGCAAGGATTATTATTATTATATTCAGTCCCTCGAGCCAGTTCCGCCATTCTGTTAATCATGGCTGATCTGTACCTCAACTCCAGTTACCCGCCTTTTGCCCCGTACCCCTTGAATACGCTTAACTGACAAACATCTATCCACCTGTGTGTTTTATGGGCGAAACAAGCACAAACAGTTGTGTCCCACAAACAGCCTCGAAGCCAAGTTTTCCAATTAGCCAACGTTTTGAAGAACTCCCACGTTCACGTAAGTGAACTTCCTCAGACGGCTGCAGAGGCAGAATCATCCAATTGGGATGTTCTAAATGGGACAGTAGATACAGTAGATAGATACTTGTGCAGTAAAGTGGGGGCCATGAGGGAGTGGTTAGGACGTCTGAAGATGTAAACTTGAGGAACAGCCTTTGTGGCCACGTCCTTTGGTCCATTTGACCTCATCCTTCCATTCACCAAATTGCATCTGTACAGCGCCTTCCACGCTGGAAGGACATCCCAAGGCGCTGGGCAGTCAAGGATTTGCACCCGAGCTGGGGGTTGGGATGAGGAGGGGTGGAGGGCAGGGGGGGATAGGAGGGTAACTGAGGAGCTGACAAGGAGGCCTTGATAATTTTCCGCTGTATCTTCTCTTGTCTCCTCCCTCCCCCCCAACCCCCCACGCCCCCACACCCCCCCGATCCTGTCTGATTGCAGCCCGGCCCTCAGCTTCCCTCACCCCATCAACCCAGTGACCTTCCAGCAGATGCACCAGCAGATCCTGAACCAGCAGCGAGGCCTGGGGTCAGCGTTCGGACACACGCCTCCACTGGTCCAGCCGTCACCGACCTTTGCCTCGCGGCATCACATGGCCAACGTCTCTGCCGTCCTGCCGCACTCTCACGTTAATAATAACCCCCCCTCCGAATCGGCTCAGGTAAGACATCAACAGATCCATCAACAACAACACACGTTCACACAGCGACATTCACGCAGGGTAATGTCTCGGAGCGCTCACGAGTGAGTGAGGTTGGACGGAAAGGAGTGGAGGAGGGAGGGAGGGAGGGAGGGAGGCAGGATTTGCTGTGAAGTTGCTAAACTGCTACGTGCCACTTGCTCCCCGACAAGCTTCAGTATTTTCCCGACCGAGCCGTGGGACAAGGGAAAATTTTTTAATGTAAGGTCCCGTCCGCGTTCTTGGTGTTTCGTTCCTGAGCTGCTGTTTTGTTTTGATCGCTGCACAGAGTAAACTGAGCGGCGAATCTGCTGTGACGAGCACCGTCAGTCCAATGATCCACAAGCGCACCAAGGTTAAAACTGAGGTGGAGGGACTGCGTCCCAAATCGCCCAACACTCAGGTGAGCCTCCAGCCCATGAGATACAGGTAAAACTCTTCACTGGCGATATCTCTGTTCGAGAATGGTATTCTGTTGAATTCACTGTTGTTAAAAAAAAAAAGCCTGGGTAAGGAACAGAATGGGAGCAACTCTCTTTGCTCAGGGAGTTTGGGTTTATTTATACAAGCGCCATCAATTACTGGCCATCGCACACTTTTATATAACTTCAGAAGAGTGCAGAGAAAGAGAGGGAGGGAAGCGAGGGAGGAAGGAAAGAGATCGAGAGGAAAAGGAAGAAACCGAAAGAGAGGGAGGATAGAAAAAGGGAGAAAATCGAAAGAGAAAGACGGAGGGAAAGCAAGAGCGAAAGTAAGAGGGAAGAAGAGATATAAAGAAAGAGTACCTCGTCACCTCAAAGTAAGTGCTGACATGTGCGATGACTATTACGTCGACAAACAGTTGCAGCTATTTGCAGACTCGCGCAAACAGTTATTCTGTTCTAAGGACAGTTAATCTGGTGGAGTGTTGACCAAGTCACCAGGAGAGACAACCTACTTGTTGCCGTCCATCTGAACGGGCAGATGATAGGTCAGCGTCTATAATGGTTGTGCGTCAATTGGGTGCTGCGTTTGCCTCGCCTTCAAATGCACAGCCACTACACTAGAGACGCTTTGACCGACGTGATAAGACGCTGTCGTGACTGTGCATTCTGCAGGTGGATGCAATACCTTATCTGGAATGTGGCCTCTCTGTTTCCATTGGGGGGGTGTGGGGGTGGGGAGGGGACTGGTGGGGGGGAGAAGTGGTCATGGATTGACTCCAGGAGATGTAGGTTTCGATGGAGATGATGAAGCGATAAAGTCGATGTATTTTTGTTTTTCCGACTCACTTTTTATGGCAACTTTAAAGCATGTTGCGAATGTCCATCCCTCTTCCCCCCGCTCCCTCCCATCCCATCCCCGTATTCACCCCCACTCCTCCTCCCCCTCTCCCCCCCCCCCCCCCCCCGCACTCCATTTTAATGAAATACACAACGCCTTGCTACCTTTGACTAAATCCTTGCTCTGTTTCCCGAGCCAGAGCCTGTTCCCGAGTCAGGTTGCAGCAATGATGCATGAGGATGGCTCTGCGTATAATCATCAGGGGCCGGTGGAAATTGATGAAGATAGCATATCAGGCGAAGATAAACATGCTGCAGTCAGCACGTTGGGGGCAGAAGTCATCTCTCCCGAGTTTTAAGTTTAGAGACATCAACAGAGGCAGCAAGCGAGGGAAACCCAGGAGATTATCCAGCTGCAGTGTAGACATTGAGGATCTAATGAGATCATTTTTAAGTACACGCAATTGGCGTTGGAAAGGAATTATAATCTTATCAGCGACGGGCGCTAATTAGGCCGAGCAAATTGTGTTTTATTAGCGCGGCTTCAATTTTGGGGGGCGGGGAGGTAGGGGTGAGGGTGGGGGGGATCGGGGGGGGGGGGGAGAGAGACAAACAAAGGGGCTTTGTTCCTCCCAAGTTAAAGGAGAAGAGGGGAGATGGGGGTTTGGGGGAGTGAGTCAATATTTCCAGGGTTTGGGTGTGTTTGTGGGGGAGGCGGGGGGGGGGGCGGGTTTGGGGATAGGGGGAGACAGACAGATTATTATGTACGTTACAATTGACAAACTGAGGAGAGGTGGGGAAGCCATACAAACCCAATCGCTGGTTAAGGTGAGATGACTGTTACGAGGATTTCTGCATTGCCTTAGCTCTGCAATCAGTGGGATAGGTACTTGAGGAGGGGAGGCACAGGATGTTCCAACCTTTCACCTCCCTCCCTCCCTCCCTCCCTCCCTCCTTCCCTCCCATCGAGATGTCCTCCCGACCCCCGGGGCTCTGTGTTTAAAGCATTGCGAACCGTATTGTGAATGGCCGTGTGATTGTTCAGGATCACCCAGTGGAGCTGACCGAGGTGAAGGAAGATCTGGATAAAGATGACTGCAAACAGGAGCCGGAGGTCATTTACGAGACGGCCTGTCACTGGGAAGGCTGCGGCAAGGAGTACGACACTCAGGAGCAATTGGTCCACGTGAGTATCCCTCTATCCCTCCTCCGCCTTGCCCTTTTCCTTCCCCACCTTCAGGTCACGCCTAAAGACATTCCTATTCGACCTTCCTCCCACTCATCCTCCCACTTCGACCCACTTGCCTGGCTTCCGAGTGACCCGAGTGACGTTTAAAAGGTCGAATAAATCTGTGTTTTGGGGCAAAGACTAAAGTATTGACAGGATATTTGAGCGAGAGAGCGAGAGAGGGAAAAAAAAACACAGATTTGGAGCAGATCGATCAAAACGAAGGCTTAGAGAAGAAAAGAAGTTGTGGATAAACTGCAACATCTAATTAATGGCTACCGTTTCCCAGGACTTGCGTACATTGGCAGCAGTCCTTTCCTCGTAGGTAATTTCCTGCCCAAAAAGTCTAAGCCGTTGACAGCAGGTGCATTTTTATAGGGGAGCTTCAGCTAATAGATGACTTCATTCAGCGGAGTTGCTGCTTTCTGAAGCCTCGCGTCTGTCTACAGGAATACCAGGGAGTCAGTGAAGCACGGCAGAGGTGGCATGTGTTTCCCATTACTAAACTGTCTGTCAGTCTGCCGAGATGTTAAGGCATTCGCCTAAAGACACTCTTAAACCAGCGCCAAGACCACACTCCTTAGTCGACAGAGATCCGCAGATGTAAACTCTCCTCCCTCTCCCCTCAACATCCCAGTGACACAGTGAATAAATTAATCCATTGAAGTTAATTTAGATACCCTGCAGAGATGGACCGACTTGACCGTCTGTGAATCAGGAAACCCATTGGTCGAAATGCTCTCCGCCACCTCTTATAGTAACTGAGTTCGGAAGATATTGGAGTGAGAATAAAGTGGGGAAACTAATTTCGTGGGGGCGGAGGTTGGTTCAGATCTTGGCTGATCTGTGGTTTTCTCTCCTTTCCCTTCCTCCCTCCCTCTTTCTCTCTCTCTCTCTCTCTCTAGAAAACTCTGGAACTCTTTTCCGCAATCCCTCAACCTTGCCCCCTCTCTACCCCTTTTCAAGACCCGCCTGAAAATCTTTCCTTTTCTACTTTGCTTTTAATGGTCAGTTGTGTACAGCAGCGCCCCACAAACAGTCGTGGGTTGTGTGACCTTTCTTTTTGGAGGGTTTATTAGCCCCGGAAAGAGATCCGCCAATCGACTAATAACCCTACGCTACGTACTGCTGGGTAAACAGAGGCGTGCGTGTGGAGTAAGGAAACTTACCCAAGGTTTCGTCCCGCCGGGTCCTCTCACTCGAGGTCGAGCACTTTAACCACAATCTCAACGGAAAAAAACACACAAAACCCGTCCGTGCGGACTGAACCGTGTGCCTTGCGTGTTTTGCCTCCGCAGCACATCAACAACGAGCACATCCACGGGGAGAAGAAGGAGTTTGTGTGTCGCTGGCGGGATTGCTCGCGGGAGCAGAAGCCGTTCAAGGCGCAGTACATGCTGGTGGTCCACATGCGACGACACACAGGAGAGAAACCGCACAAGTGTACGGTACGTCAATAATAATAACCCTTGCATTTGATGCAGCGCCTTATCACGTCTCAAAGCGCTTCACAGGATATACTCTAAAGTGGAGTGACTGTGTGTTTTGTGGGTGAAACGCGGCAGCCAATTCCGCACAGCAGCGTCCCCACAAAAGGTCGTGGATTGAGTGACCTCAAATTTTTTTGGAGTTGAGTGAACCTATACTTCGGTGAGATTGCTGTCCTGGTGAGCGTAAGGAAACAATGATGGATTGGGGGAGCAGTTTTCCCACTCACAGTCTTTCCCCCACCCCCCCTCTCTCTCTTTCTCTCTCTCTCTCTCTTTCACTCTCTCTCTCTCTCTCGTAGCTTGGAGCCAGATCTGGGTCGCACGGAAACGGTTTCTTGTTCTAAAGACTTTTTTTCCCAAAATATTTTCCAAAAGCCTCTCTCTCTCTCTCTCTCTCTCTGCCAGTGAGAATGACCCAGTTGGCAAGTCTGTTAGGCAAGGCAGTCTGGTAATCAATCTGGTATTTATAGATTGTAAAAGAAGCACTGGTTACCAGGACTTATTTTTTTGCCGCATTTCAAGTGCGGGGCGAGTGGGCTGATGTGCGTTCAACTGTACCTCTGCATTCCTAATAATAATAACCCTTTCATTTGATACAGCGCCTGATCACGTCTTCGAGACGTCTCAAAGCGCTTCACAGAATATACTGTAAAGTGAATCGACTGTATATTTTGTGGGCGAAACGTGGCATCCGATTGCACACAGCAGCGTCCCGGCAAACAGTCGGGGATTGAGTGACTGAATTATTATTATTTTTACCCCCGGAAAACGGATCCGCCAATCGACAAACAACTGTGTTCCTACTTAATTGCCAAAAGAGCCAGAGGGGAGATGAGGAGAAATTTATTTTTTTTACTCAGCGAGTTGTTACGGTCTGGAACTCGCTGCCTGAAACGGTGGTGGAAGCAGATTCAGTGATAACTTTCAAAAGTGAATTGGACATATACTTGGAAAGAAAAACATTGGCAGGGCTGTAGGGAAAGAGCGGAGGAAAAGCTCTTTCAAAGAGCCGACACAGGCGCCATCGATGGGCCGAATGGCCTCCTTCTGTGCTACAAGGTTCTGTGAGTTCCCAAATCAGTTGCTTCTGATGACACGCCATTAGTTGACCTCACACTAGCTCTCCCCCTGCAATCCTACAGTCTCGGTCCCTCCATCTGCCATCTACCTCCCTCCCAACCCAACCCACCATCAGCAGGCGAGCTTTCAGCCATTCCGCCAACCCCCACCCCCCCCCCACCACCACCACCCCCCACTCTCTGGAACGCTATCACAGACTCTGTCACACACAGTCTCTGCTCTTCATACAGACTGTATTCAAGGAAGGATGTCGGCACGACAGTCAAGTGCGTTTGTTTTTTGGTCAGCCGTCTGTCTAACACATGTAGAAATCCATCACCACGCTGAGGGTTTCACATATGTATACCATCTACACACTGAAAATTTCCTGCCGTCTGGAATGGAATGTGTGCGCTCTCTTTACATTAAATGCACCCCACTGGGTGTTAAAGAGAAGGGGAGCTTCTCTCTCCTGGTGTCCCGACAAACAAATTCCCCCAAATAAAATTGATCACTCTCCTCCATGGATGTTTGTGGGGCATTGCTGTGTGCAAATTGGCTGCCACATTAACCCCACGAAAGCGCTTTGAGACGTCTCTCGACTGTGTTATAAGGTGCTACATCAAGTGCAAGGATTATTATTATTATTATTAGGCACTGGTTTGCAAGAGGCAAGACTTGTCGACCCCAGAATGTATGTCGGGGTAGCTGCCGGAGTCTAACCTGCTAAAACCACATAGCTTGCTATTGGGAGCACTGTCGGCCAAGCTTTCCCTCTGCTTGTCCAGCTAGGACCACCCTACACATTAGTTCTTTGGCTTGCAGGGTTAATAACATTTTGCACGGACATCTCAGACAATACTTCATGGTTGAACGTGATAAGACACGGGTCTGAGCAGCGTATAAAGTAATTCTCTCCACTCCGAGGAACATTTCAGAAAGAAATTGTATTTTTACTCCTGGGGTATTTTCGTACTATGGCAGTTTGAATCATAGGAGAGGAATTATAGCATGAATTAATCAGTGTGTAGCTTGTGAGTCCTTGCATTAGGCTAGTGTATTAGTGTCTATATATATAGATATATATACTGTATACTTTATCCTACATCAGAAATTTCTTCTGGTCCACTGCTTTATATCAGAAACCTTTTGTGTGTTGAGAACATCACGTGCTGTAAAGCATCTCACTTCACACACCACAAAACATTCACTAACCCACAAACTGCAGCCTCCTCCTCCTCCCCATCCCTTCAAAATAAAGTGGGGGGCGGGTTTCGAAAGATATGGATACCCTTTGGGATGTTGTGACATTTTCATCACGTATATTTTTAGGGCGACATTCTCTTTATTGTGACTTTATTTTGCCAGAGCTTAATTATTTCTTTAAAAACTTCCCCACAAGACATGCAGATCCAAACGGGCACATACGCCCCGCCATTATGATTATTACCACTATTAGTATTGTAATCATTATTATTATCATCATCTAATATTATTATCATTGGATCTTGGATCGTGCCGTTTGTCTTCCTCCAAGTTTTAGGAAATAGCATGATTTGATATAATAATAATAATAATAATCCTTGCATTTGATATAGCTTTTTTCATGTCTTCTAGATGTCTCAAAGCGCTTCACAGAATAAGCTGTAAAGTGAATTGACTGTATATTTTGTGGGCAAAACAATGGTACGTAGATAGTTCGGGACATATGTGCATGCGCCCGCCAGGAAGGTGGAACGCGAACTAGATGGACCTTGGTCTATTTATTCATCCAGCATATCTTAACACCCTTAAGTCGTGCTCAATCTCGTGCAGCTCTCTCAGTCTCTCTCTCTCTCTCTCTGTCTCTCTCCAGTTCGAGGGCTGCAGCAAAGCTTACTCGCGGCTCGAGAACCTTAAGACTCACTTGAGGTCACACACTGGAGAAAAGCCCTACGTGTGCGAACACGAAGGCTGCAACAAGGCCTTCTCCAACGCGTCGGATCGGGCCAAACACCAGAACAGGACTCACTCGAACGAGGTAAGGACGAGGTTTCCCCAGTGTCGTGAAACGCTTTCCTTTCCCTTGGCTGAAAGGGCGCAGGCGAAAAGGTATCATTCGGAAAGAAAAGAAAAGTCGCCCTTTGCCAGCCGGACACAATGCGAATAACGTCTTTTGCTTTGGCGAGTTCTCACCGGAGCTGGGGGTGGGAACTGAAATGGGGGGGGGGTGTGGTGGGGGTGTACGGAAAGGGGAAAAAATGACCGAAAGCACAGTCAAAGAGGGAGCGTTTTGAGATGGAGCTTGATCGGTGGTGAAGAGTTGGAGGGTCTCCAGGATGGGGGTGGTGGGGGTGGGTGAATGGCTGAAAACCTGTCTGCCCCCAGTGGGGCAGATACACAGACATAGGCAACTTAAGTATTGTACAGTTCATCTAACTTAAGCTGCTGAAACCCTGGTTCACACCTTTGTCACCTCAAGGCTGGACTATGGGAACTCTCTCCTCGCCGGCCTTCCCACCACCTCCCTCCACAAGCTGCAGGTCATTCAGAACTCTGCAGCTCGTGTACTGTCCCGCACCAGGCTTCGGGACCACATCACTCCCACCCTCGCTCGCCTCCACTGGCTCCCCATCCCCCAGAGGATTGATTTCAAGATCCTCATCCTCACCTACAAGGCCATTCACGGCCTTGCTCCCTCCTACCTCTCCAACCTACTATCCCCCTACCTACCTGCCCGTACCCTCCGTTCCTCTGGCTCCGGTCTGCTCCACGTCCCCCGCCCCAACCGCCCTACTATCGGTGGTCGGGCCTTCAGCCTCTCAGCCCCCAGGCTCTGGAACTCCATCCCCCAGTGCCTTCGCCGCTTCCTCCCTTTCCTCCTTCAAGGCCGGTCTCAAAACCTTTCTCTTTGACCGTGCCTTCAGCTCCCCTCTCGACTCTCTTCCTCCTCCTCGCTCCCTCCCTTCCCTCCCCTCACCCTGACCATTTCCCCCCTCCTCTCTCCCTCCCTTCCCTCCCCTCACCCTGACCATTTCCCCCCTGCTCGGGTCATGACCCAACTGTGCAGCGCCTTGGGACGTCCTCCTGACGTGAAAGGCGCTCTATAAATGGAATCTTGTTGTTGTTGTTAAGAACAGTTTAGAAAAGAGATGGTAGGGTTGGGGGGTAATTTCCTTGGGACTCTACACCATTTTAAAAATTGGATATTAATGTTCCCCCTATTCCCCCATGCTCTATGTAAGTGACTCGCAACATCACAGTCGGAGGAGAGGTGGAAGGAACGCTTGAATTTTAGTTCAACACCACAACCAAGACACAAGGGAAACTGATTCCAACCCAACCTCGTCATTTAGGTAGTGGCTCAGTTTGGGAGGGTCTTAAAGGCCAATCGGTGAAATGAATTGGTCGATTTATGGTTTGCCTCAAATGAAGAGAAGGCTGAGTTGAGGCTCGGAATTTAGTTTTAGTTTTCAAGTCTTCGGAAAGTCAGGGTTAGTTAAATAACGTAATAACATGGTGGCTTTACACTTTTCTTTAAAAACAAGCTTGATTCAGGACTGCAATTGGTGGTTTAACTGTGTATTTTGGGGGTGAATTGCGCACAGTCGTGTCTTACAAAGAGTCGTGGATTGAGTTACCAAACTATTATCATATTTTGAAGGGATTATTACCACCGGAAAGCGATCCGCCAATCAACTAACCACCGGGTTCCTACTTACTACTAGAGGAACAGAGGCTTGTGGAGTAAAGAAACTTGTCTAAGGTTTCGTCCTTTCGCTTGCGAGGCGAGTGCTGTAACCGCTACGGGGCTCCAGTGTAGTGACTGTACATTTTGTAGACGAACGCGGCAGCCAGTGAAGTCCAACAAGCAGCGGTGAAGCAGAACGGACCATTTTACCCAGACGACTGCTTTGCTCTCGTTACAGAAACCCTACGTTTGTAAAATTCCCGGCTGCACCAAGCGGTACACCGACCCGAGCTCGCTCAGGAAACACGTGAAGACTGTGCATGGGCCGGACGCGCACGTCACCAAAAAGCAACGCAACGACGTCCACCCCAGACCCCCGGGGCCCAAAGACACGGGTGACATCGAGACGGGTGTTGGGCAAGGTAACAGGGCAGGAGAGGACAGGGCGGAGGCTAACAGCACCAGTGGGGGCCTGGAGGACTGCCTGCAAATCAAAACCATCAAAACTGAGAATCCCATGGTAAGAGGAACCTTTCTGGTGGTGAGAATAGAGCGTGCAGAACCAAATAGCAGAGAGCCGAGAGCCAAACCATCCCAAGATCAAGATCAAGGCTTGGGTTGTAGAAAGGCTTCCTTCCTAATTTAAGCGCTCTGGGGCGCTACCCTGGGTGAGGGGCTGCTATATAAATGCAAGTTGTGTTGTTGTATATGTTGTCAATCTTTCTGTCTATAAGTAAATCCCGACCCAAAGCCGACTTCTTCGAACGCGCCTAAGGACACGGCCTTCCTTCGCGCTAAAACAAAACAGCCTTTAGCGTTAACCTTAAAATTGTGTTGTGTTTAGTTGTTGCACTCGCCACGGTTGTGAATTGCAGTGTTGACTTTTTTGACACCGTGCTTAAGAGCATCCAAACCAAGCTGAGGATTCCTTGCAATCCCACCAACACTTGGAAATCCCAGAGATAGATTGTTAACCCAATGCACGTCCGAACCACCGTTATTCCACTCTCACCTGAAGTTGACTTTATTGAGCTTGAAGCTAACCTGAATGTGCCTCTTCTTTGCTAACGTACTAACAGTTTCTCTTCTGCTGTCTGCCCTCCCTTCTGCTGACTGCCTTCCGTGTTCATCGGTCTCTCTCTCTCTCTGTCTCTCTCTGCTGCGTCAATGTCCCTTTCTTCCTGACTGGACCTTCCTAAGGACAGTCGGTGCTAAGGTGAGCAAACTTAAAGCTTAAGCATGTGCCTCACTGCAATCTGACCTGTGCTCTTTGTAACTAGACCTGGTTTTGCTGTGTTAGGAAATGTTAATAATAATAATAATAATAATATAATAACAATATTATTTCACGAAATTTTACCACCCGAAAAGGTGGTGGAAGCTGGTTCGATAACAACTTTCAAGAGAGAAGTGGATAAGTATTTGGAGAGGGCAAATTTATTCAGATTAATTTGGACAGCTCTTTCAAGAGCTGGCACAGGTACGATGGGCCGAATGGCCTCCTTCTGCGCTGTATAATTCTACGATTTTAGGTCAAGTGACTGCCAGGGTGGTGGAAGACGAACTGGATGGACCTTGGTCTTTCGTCTGGCAAATTCTTACGTTCTGACAAGTTACATAGAAACAATAGCACTGAAACAGACCGTTTGACCCAACTAGTTTGTGCCCGTCTTTTATACTCCACAAGAGCCTCCAAACATCCCAATCCTCTCTCTCCCCTCTGCCGGTATCTCTCTACTCCCTTCTCTATCATGTGCGCTTTGAGGTTTCTCTGAAATTGTTATTGTTTATTTAACAAAGTAGAGTGAGAGAACAGGGGGGGGGAGAAGTGGGGTGGGCTGTGGGTAGGATATACAGGGTGACCAAAAAGTCACGATACCATTACAATGTCCAATAAGTCTTAAAGAAATGAGGATTTTTTTTTTCGCTGTGTAGATAGTGTAGATATAAGGTCACCCCTTTGTAACCCAGACACAGACAAAAGTGCGAGAAATGTATTTTGGATCCGTAAGTGGAATCCGTGAAAGCTTTTTTTTTTAAAAAAAGATACGGACGATGCTTTTTTTCGTACAATTTATCCACATTTCCGTGAATTGGAACGAGTTGGCTTGTCTGAGGAAGGGCGGAAGCAGAATGCATAATTAGTTCCAGTACTTTGCAAGAGAACAGGATGAAGTGTGGAATACAGCCATTCAGCTACAGTGTGTTATCTTAACAACTTAGTAATACGTACAGTTTGTAAGCACAAAGTTACATTGCTCCTAACCGTGAAATCCTCTACCATCCCGGCCGAATATAAATCTTGCCTCTATTTCGGAGCGTGTTATAAAATCGCTTTGCTATAATGTTGTATAGCCTTGGTTTAGAACTTAGTGCCTTGGACTAGGGATGGCTTAATCGTAGTCAACGAACGGAGACTTCTGGCCCAGGTTTTAAGCCGCTTTAACACAAATAACTGGCCTGAAGTTGAACAAATAGTCTCATTATTACAAGACCGCTTCAAACAACCGTCAGCGCCAAGTTTATTTATAACGCTGAAAGTACAGAGGCAGGGAAACAAATTCAATGTGATTGGATCTGTTATGAAAATATTGGATTTTTCATATCTCTATATAAAATGACTCCTTTGTACTCTTTACAAGAGGGAAGCCTGGGGGGGCTGGGGTTCCATAAAATACCAACCCTTCTTATAACGAGGGACAGGGCCCTTCCAGAAATGTAACATAACATTTATGGGCTATGGAGCGCCTTGGGACGTCGTTCCCAACGTAAAAGGCGCGACACAAATTTAATTTTGTATTGTATTGCATGGAGGGATCTGGCTGGGCCAGGTGAAATGGAGGGCGGGGGCCGGATGCGGCCCGTGGGCCACCAGTTGGACCCTCCATTTCTAAGAGGACCCAACCGAAACTAGATATTTTTTCTCCCCCATCCCCAGATGTATCAGTCCAGCCCTGGTGGCCAATCTTCATGTAGCAGTGAGCCATCGCCGCTTGGCAGCACCAACAACAATGACAGTGGAGTAGAAATGAACATCAACAGTGGAGGTAGCCTGGGAGATCTCGCCACGTTAGATGACATCCCCACGGTGGATTCCACCGTCTCATCAGGAACTTCAGCGGTCAGCGTTCAGTTGAGGAAGAACATGACAGCGTCCCAAAGACTCGAGCATCTCAAGAAGGAAAAATTGAAGCAGGTTAGAGACGTCCCTTCCTGGGCAAACCCAGTGCCATCAATCAAAAACACCAAGCTTCCCTTCATTGTCATGAACGGTAAGTGCCCGGACTGGACTTCTGCTGCCGCCTTTAACCGGTTGCTTTCCTTGATTTGAAAAAAGAAAAAGTAATGGAGTAAACCTCACACAAGTCGTGTCAGTTGGGACCACACGTTTAATATGACTTATGCAAAGTATGAGTTGTATTACACTGGCATAGAATATATGAAAAAATAATAAATAATAATAAATCGGTCAGTTAATCCACGACTGTTTGTGGGGACGCTGCTGTGCGCAATTGGCTGTTGCGTTTCCCCCATAAAATATACAGTCAATTCACTTCTGTGAAGCGCTTTGAGACGTCTTGAAGACGTGATAAGACTCTATACGTGGGATTAAAAAAAATAAACCCAGAACAATCCATTGGGGATGCACCAAGACAGTAAGACAAGATGGTTCAGGTTGATAATAATAATATTACAATCCTTTCATTTGGTTTAACTTAATCCAAGTTACTATTATTTTTTTTTGAAGGGATTATTACCCCCAGATGTTCAGCATTGAAAAGGGCAATTTGAGGTTAGATACCACCAAATGTTCTTTACGCAGAGAGTAGTATTAATAATAATAATAATAATATTCCTTGCATTTGTAGTGTAGTGTAGTGTAGTGACTGTGGGCTTTGTGGGCGTATTAACGGCTAGAAGAGGGATGCCAGGAAAGGGTGGGTTGAGGCCAGGACGTTGGGACGAATTTTAAAAGCAAAACAGCTCGATGCTGGGGTGAATTTTCTGGAAAGGGTGAGATCGGGTGGGCCCGAAGGAAGCTTCTTCAACCGAACCAATTCTTCTTTGCCACCTATTCTCCTTTTCCTTTTCCGGTCAGGAACTCCACTGGACACTTCAATCCCCGGTGGTTCCACCGCTGTGTTGCCCAACCCCAGGATAATGGAGCTGTCTAACGGGGAGATCACGGTCCTCAATCAACTCAATGAGCGGCGGGACAGCGGGGCGAGCACCCTCAGCTCCGCCTACACGGTCAGCCGCAGGTCCTCCGGCATCTCCCCCAACTTCTCCAGCCGCCGCTCCAGCACTGTCTCCCACTTGGGGGGCCGTCACGACAACCCCAGCTCCGCCGACTCCTACGACCCCATCTCCACCGACCTCTCGCGCAGGTCCAGCGACGTCAGCTACTGCGGGGGTCCGCTGCTCAACCTGACCCCGGCCGAGCAGTACAGGCTCAAGGCCACCTACGCCGCCGCCACGGGGGGAGCCCCCCCGACACCCCTCCCGAACATGGACCCCCCCAAGTCCCGAATGCCTCTGCCGTGGGACAACCCGCGCTCCACCTTCTCTCCGTTCCCCCCGCTCGGCCCGCAGAGACGCAGCAGCGATGGGGGGCTGTTTTGCGGACGCGGAGGGACCCTTGGCCCGCCGCCCAGGCCCCGCGAGCTGGCGGGCCACGGCTACCGGCGGGCCAGCGACCCGGTGTGCCGGCCGGCAGGGGGGCACTCGGCCTTCCCGCGCTTTGCGGAGCGTTTCGGGGGTTCAGGCAGCCTGGGGCTGGCCGACGGGCGTAGCGCGTTCCTTCAGAGCGGCCGGCGGGCCGCCTACTCGCCCCGGCCACCCAGCATCACCGAGCAGGTGGCCATGGAGGGCCTGCAGGGCGACGGGGGGCTGGGGGCGGGGGCCGAGGATGAGCTGATGCTCCCCGACGATGTGGTGCAGTACATCAACTCCCAGGAGCATTGCCTGACCCCGGGCCCCGACCCGCGCCCACTCGGCTTCAACACCCACTTGCAGAGCTTCCAGGACAACGCGTTGAGCCAGGCGGGTGGCGCCTACGGGCAGCTGCACCCGCCCCGGGCGGACTCCAACTTGATGGGTCCGGGACGGGGGAGCCCGCCGCCTTACCAGGGCCCGCCCGCTGGGAGCAAGAGCCACATGCCGGTGCAGTGGAATGAGATCAGCTCGGGCACGGTGGACCTGGCCCCCGAGCGATCCGAGCCGCGCTTCTCGTGTGCCAACCCGCCCCCCCTCCGGCACAAGCAGATGTTCGAGCAGTACCAATCTCTGCCCGCCGCTTCGATGAGCCCGAGGGACGCCAGCCTTGCCCAGCAAGTGCTCACGCAGAGAACGGCGGGCTTGAATGAGCAGAGAATGGGTTACGTGCAGCAGCAACAACAACAACAGCAGCAGCAGCAGCAGCGCCAAATACAACCTCAGCTCGCCCCATGTCAGAACGCTATTCCTAACCCGCTCAACAACCCACCGCAGGCTTATAACCACACCAACCAAATGCTCCACCCCAATGGGATCAACAGACCCGCGGGCCAGGCTCCCTGCAGCAACGTGCCCGGGAGCGCCATGATGCCCGCCCCCGTCGCGACGGGCACGCAATGCTACAAGCTGCCTCCGATGATGCAGGACAAAGTTCCGATGGTGAAAAGTTACATGCAAGCCCACCACGGCCTGGCCCAGACTCAACCGCACATGGCGGGCGTTGGCGAGAGACAGCTGATGTTGAACAATCGCAGGGCACGTGTTGGCGGTCAAGGTCAAGCTCCGGGCGTGCACATCTCAAGCCAACAGAACTTCGGGTCTCACCTGCAACCGGGGATAAACCCGAACCTTATTAACTTTAACGGCCAGGGAAGCTTAAGCCAGACCAACGCCCTGGTCAACTCAATCAACCAGCAGAACTTCAGGCAGTCGGAGCACGATGCAGTAAGTTTCGCTGGGCACGGCATGATGCAGCCTCAACTAGTGCAGGGCTCTGCTTCCGTAGCCAGGCAGCGAGGCCTAGTGAACTCAGTCAACATGCAACACGCACAGACGTACCTGCAAAGCCCTGTCCAGATGAACGGCTTGAACCCCGGACACCAGCGTTCAGACTCGAGCCAGAAAAGGCCAGGGAACCTATTTCCGTCCCAGCTTCAGCCCCCGCACTGCACCGGCAACGAGAACTCCAACGGCAACGGCTTGACCTTCTACTCCGGTCAGATCCACATCTACGAGCAAAGCGGGAACTTCAGTCACCGCATGGACTGCGCGATTCGAGACCAGCAGTGCATGGCGGAGGCCAAGGCCACTTGCATGTCCTCGCCAGGCGCCAACCAGGTGTCGAGTACTGTGAACTCCCAGGGGCTGGAGCCAGCCCAGATCGATTTTGATGCTATAATGGACGATGGGGATCAGTCCAGCTTGATGTCCGGTACATTGAGCCCCAGTATTCTCCAGAACCTCTCCCAGTCTTCCTCTCGCCTCACGACTCCCCGCAACTCCTTGACGCTACAGACTATTCCAGCCGGATTGACCAACATGGCAATAGGGGACATGAGCTCCATGTTGACTACCTTAGCCGAGGAGAACAAATTTCTGAACATGATGTCTTAAACAAAAGTTCGCCCCCAAACCAACCACCACCCCCACCCCCCCCCCCACCGCCCGCCCCGTCCAAAAAAACAAACATTACCTAACTTCAGATCCCAGGAGTTTCCCGTTTCCACCAACGTCACATTCCGCAAGAAAACAAGATTACGTGTCTGTTGTTTTTTTTTATTAAAAAAAATAAGAAAGAGAGAAAAATATGAACTTTGTATTTTAATGTATAAAAGAAATGTTTATTCTGCCAAAAGTCAATCAGGCCATTTTACAGAACTAAAAAAAAAAAGCTTATATATTTGTGTACAGGGACTGATCGATCACCTGATGTGTGTGTAAAACGTTGCTGGCGGATTGATGTGTTTCACCGAGAGGTTAGTGTGTTGAGTAAGACTCTTGCTGTCTTTCGTTTGTTTTTGCAGAGCACTGATATTGTATATTTGACCAAACAGGCAGACGCTACTCTCGTTTCTTCCTTGTAAATACCAGACGTGCTTCCCTGTATTTTATTAATGTGAATCCTTCCGTGTGTATCTATCGGCCGATTCGATGTCGTTGAAAGTGTTAATGGTCAGGTGAGGCGAGGTGACATACCATGGGCTCATCAGCAGGTACCACACAAGCCATATCTAGTGCTTCCTCGTCAAGTGAGCTCAGAGTCGCTCTGCATTTATTCCGTGTCCACAAGTACATCATTGCTGGGAACCTAATTGGAAACACAGAGTCGCAGGCTCCGGTCTGCTCCACGTTCCCCCCACCCGGCAAGCCCCACCATCAGCTGTCGGGCCTTCAGCCTCTCTGCCCCCACACTTTGGAACTCCATCCCGCAGTCCCTTCGCCTCGCTCTCTCCCTCGCTTACTTCAAGGCCCGTCTCAAGACCCTCCTCTTTGACCGAGCCTTCGTCCACCCTCCTACCCTCACCCTCCCTGCCCTCCACCCCTCCTGAACCCAACCCGCTGCTCGGGTCCAAATCCCTGACTGTCCAGCGCCTCGGGACTTCCTCCGGACGTGAAAGGCCCCGTACAAAGGAAATTTGTTGGTGGTGTTGGAAACAATAATGGTACCAGAAAGATGACCAATATTTTAGCATCGAAAAAGTGCCTTACTACTGTCACGTTACTTTCCAACAGTGAAAGAAGGCATCTTATCAGTTTGAGAGACCTGTTTAGTTTTTTTTTTAGAGTCAGTTTCCAGCGATTTGACTTGTGAGCAAAAAGGACCGTGCTCGATATCCACGCAGTGTTTTGAATGAGGATGTTTCTTCGACGTGAGAGAAGTATTGTGAAAGATATGCAAAGTGTTATTTTCAATATATACGAGCTGGCTGAAACGTGTATACGACTGTTCCTTGTTGTGTGTTCTCCATGCAATGACCATCTCATGTAAAAAAATCCAAAATTGCGAGCGACCAGTTTAAAGTCTGTAAATAAGTGTAACTTGTGAAACTGCTCTCCCGAATGCGAGCACGAAACAAAAACGATCGTTTCTGACCAACAAGAGGCTCGGAACAATTCCCGTAACCAATTCCTTTGGGTCTCCGCAGAAGAAGGTTAAATGTACATACACTTTTGTACAATAACAAACTTTTCTTTAATAAAAAAAAACCCATGTTGAATGTAATCCATTTTGCTTGGTTCTGAAACGCATGACTCCTACACGGAACAAATGGTGGAGACGCTTAGAGACATTTAATAATCCTACAATCCTTGCATTTCATTTGATGTCATAATATTAATAATCCACACATTCGATTATAATGCTTTATCACATCGCTGAGACTTCTCAAAACGTTTCACCAAATATACTGTAAAATGAATTGACTGTATATTTTATAATTTACCAAGTGACTACATATTTTATACGTGGCCAAAACATGGCAGCCCATTGTAAATTTAAAGTTAATCCTGAACTTCACATCGTGCCTTTCACATCAGGAGGACAACACTAGCAACAACAACAACTTGCATTATAGTGCGTCCTACAGGCCGAATGGCGTCTTGGGAGCGCTTGACAAGAGCGGTAGTTTGAGGCCTAGCGAGGAGAAAAGAGAGGTGACAGAAGATACGGTCGAACAGAAAAATCTTCGGCTGCAATCTGAGACGGGCAGGGTGGGTAAGGCCGAGGGATTGAAGATGTCTTAAAGATGGATGTCATACGACATCTCCACTTCATGATGGGCCAAATGGCCTATTGTCTGCGCTGTAAGATTCTGTGAGATGTGGCACACAGTAGGGAAGGCATTTTTTTTTCTCTCTCTCTCCTCTCCTTCCACTGGAGGGAGAAAGAAAGAGATAGAAGTAAAGGGGTATATGAAACGTGAACCGCGGCAGCCGATTGCGCCCACAAACAGTCGTGGATTCTTAATAATCGGGAGTCAAATAAATCGACTTCGAAAATCCCGACTAGGAATTCTAAATACTTGCCTCTTCCTTCCTTCCTTCCTTCCTTCCTTCCTTCCTTCCTTCCTTCCTTCCTTCCTTCCTTCCTTCCTTCCTTCCTTCCTTCCTTTCTGCTTCACGAAGTGTGAGGATGAGATTCTTAAAGAATAATCATCCTTGCATTTGCCTTATCATGTCGTTGAGATGTCTCAAGACCCTCCACAGAATATACGTAAAGTGAATTGACTGTGTACTTTATGGGAGAAACGCGGCAGCCAATTGCGCACAGCGGAGTCCCCACAAACTGTCGTGGACTGAAGTGGCCGAATTATTTTTTATGTCCCGAGCGAATTCGATAAGAGTTCTCTCCACCCAATGCGCAGATGCAGGAAACTCAGTGACAATCACTTTCCAGTCAAGCGCAACAACTTTGAAGTTAGTTTTTTTTTCTTTCAAGTGTCTAGTACGTTTCGCAAACTCTTGTTTGCTTTAAAATCTTAACTCTAGAGATCGGTGAGGAGACGGGGGGAGGGGGAGTTGGGGGGGTACGCCCACCGTTGCTGTAATAGATCTGGAGTCGCTAATAGGGTTGTATGACCCATTCTATTGAGATGCAGAATGGGGTCAGTGTTGCCTTCAATGAATGATGATTTGTATTCTAAATGTGCACGACTTCTATTGTGTTGCTTCATCCCAGACACGAAGGACTCCTCATTGAACTGATTGACGCATTTCAAAAGCATAAACTTCTTTTGTGCGTTAAAGCTCATGTTTGCCTGGCGGCTCGCTCCAATTCGCTCTTAATGACACGCAGAGTGTCCTATCCTTCCTTTGTGGGTTTGTGTCTCTTACTTAAAGGGCGAGATTTATGAATTAAAAAGGGGGTTTTTTGATGTAAAAGAAACTTTCAGAGAATGACAAGTGCCTGGCACAGCATCCACACCACATTTATTTGCCACGGTTTACCTAGCAGTAATAATAATAATAATCCTTGCATTTGATATAGTGCCTTATCACGTCGTTGAGACGTCTCAAAGCACTTCACAGAATATACTGTAAAGTGGATTGACTGTATTTTGTGGGCGAAATACGGCAGCCAATTGCACACAGAAGTGTACCACAAACAGTGGTTGGATCGAGTGACCACATTTTTTTTGGAGAGGACATTACGCACGGAAAGCGAGCCGCAAGTCGTCTAACAACCGGGTTCCTACTTACTACCAGGTAAACAGAGGCGTGTGGAGTGAGGAAACTCGCCTAAGGTTTCACCACGCCTGGGAATCAAAACCAGGTTCACAGTTCCAATGTGGGACTGGAAGCCTTCTGACTCAGAGGTGAGAGTGCTAACGACTGAGTCAGGCATTTCTTCATGAGTCGCAAGGCTTTACTGCAAATTGTGATTTGAAAGAGGCAACAAGGTCGCTTCTGCAAAGTTACAGCTGCTGGGAAAGTTTGTGTGTGTTTTCCTTGATCTCCTTTGGGGTTGGGGGAGTTACTTGTACTTCAGGAGTCAGCGTGGGTGAGTGAGGTCTTTGTGGAAAGGGATGCATCATGTAGTGATTACAGCACAGAAGGAGGTGAATCAGCCTGTGCAGGTGCAATCTCCTCAACTGGAGCTGTCTGTCCTTAATCCCAAATCCCTGCTCTTTCCTCTATTTTTTTAAAAAGTTCGTTCCCCTTTGAACAATTTCAACAACGGAGTCCTTTAGGGTATTGGTTGGAGTGCTCGCCCCGCAAGCGAGAGATTCCTGGTCGGGGAGAAATCTTAGTCAAATTTCTTAATTCCAACACGCCTCTGTTTACCCAGAGGCAAGTAGGAAGCCAGTTGTTAGTCGATACATGGATTGCTTTCCGGGATAATAATTCCTTCACTTTACTGCAAGAAGTTCTGGAACAAGATCACAAGAGAGTTTTGGATGAAGAAGACCATTTGGCCCATTTGATCTCATCTTTCCACAACACCCACCCTGACTGTCCAGCGCCTTGGGACGTTCTCCTGACGTGAAAGGCGCTGCACAAATGTCTCTTGTTGTTGTTGGATTCAGTAAAAACGTTGTATCTGGAATGAAAGGGTAATATACACAGGACCTGATGGAAGGAAAGTTGGAATAGTACTAGAGATTGGTTTATGTGAGGTCAAGTCGGCAAAGAAATGGTCCACAGTCTCTGGTCTATGGAGACACTCATCTAACTAACGCTGGAACTATATACCAGTGTTACAGCATTGTTGCTTGCACCTGTGAACACTGGAGACCGGGAGTTGTCAAAAGTTGTCCCAAGTTGAAATGATTCAGTGGGTGGTAGAACATAGCTCCACAGACATAGTCCACGTTGGTCGCTTGAGGCTTTTTATTCCTGGTATATAAAAAAAAGTCCCTCGCAGGGCTTGGAGCTTTCCCCCCCCCCACTTAACGTGAGATTATTAAAAAAAACACACAGATGACCAGGAAAACTAATGTAACGTGATTATTTGGCAACAGAGTTAAGCAGCTGTAACTAACTGGACTCTGGGTAATACACACATGATATGATTCTGCTATGTGTAAGGAACTGCTCTATACAGCTGTGAATGCAACAACACATTCATAATGAGATCTTTGTGCTTAGCGCAAAGACTGAAATGTTGTGGTAACTTATCAGCAAGAGATGTTTGGACGCAAGTCTTTTCA